CTTGGAATGGTTGTTGGAAGCTTATTATGATGAGCAGCTCAGAAGCTGGCAAGACCAGTCAGCAAAGGGCGTCTTTCGGGATTATGGGGGGGAGTTTTCAGGCCTCGGATCTTCTTGCAACGCATCTGGACAGGTGTTCGGTCTGGCTGCACAAAAAGAGGCAGCTGCGGAGAACGTGCTCCCGGCTGCACCTTTGAAATCCAATCCCAGCTTGACCCCCGAGACTTTACTTTGCATTACCAGGATAAATCCAAGCAGGATGGACAAAGGAAGCCCAGATAGGCTTCTATCTGGCCAGACCTCTAACCCCGATTGATAGTTTCTTTTCTGAAAGGTTGGGACAGTTTCCTGGGGACCCACTTATAGGCAGTCCATGCTTACCGACTGCCTTGTTTAGTGAACGAAGTTACAGGAACGCTAAAACAAAGCTTGGTATCCAATCCTCACATTCGTGACCGTTTCAGCATTCTCCCCCCCCCCATGGTCCTGGGATTGTTGTTCATGTGCTTCACAACCAGTGTGAGTTTTTGCTTGGGATGTGCAGCACTGCAGGGAGGGCAGGAGATAAAACTGCAAAGCATGCAGCCATGGGATTTTCCACTTAAGGACCGTGTTGCTTATGCCCACAGGAAAAAATGACAATAAAGGTGATCTGTCAATGGCACTGAAAAAAAGGTGACTTGGAACTGGTCCTTGCACTTATGACAACTGATCCTTGCACTTACGACTGTCACACCATCCCTGTGGTCACAGAATCAAAATTCGGACACTTGGCAACCCGACTGTGCTTACCAAGGGGTGTAGCATCCCGGGGATCCTGTGATCACCTATGGCGACCATTCCAGAAAGTCAAGTGGGGAATCTGAATTCGCTTAACGACCACATGACCCATTTTCCAACCAGGGCCAAAAGGTGGTAAAATCAGGCATGGCTCACTTAACAACTGCCTTGCTCCGTTACAGAAATTCTGGTCCTCTATTTCGGTCATAAGTTGAGGTTTATCTTTGCACACCTGCCTTTTGGTCTTGTTTTGGCTTGGCACTTGAACCCAACCAGAAGAACTTGGGGCGAAGACGTCCAGCCTGGGCAGGATGGAGTCCTGCTCAAAAGCCACATTACAGAGTAAAACGCCTGCTCCTTCCACCAGGGCAAATGAAATATTTCCCACTGCTGTGCCCTCCAAAGGAAATAAAATCACAGACTCAGGAATTCTTTGGCCATGCCTGGCTGGCCACGTCGAACGTGGCCATCCCAGCCTCTCCTAAAAGCGCCAGATTGGAGAAGCCCGCTCTAATGCATTTAACAAATTAGCAAAATTATCTATTCATAAAGATATGTTTTCCTGGAGGGAAGGAGGAGGAGGAGGAGGAGGGGGGGAGGAGTTTGGTATATTAAACAGCAGCACTCATTAATTTGGCAATTGGTTTTGTTTTAAATCTATGTTTTTTTTAAGCTGAGAAGGCCCTGCGTAACTTCTTCTGCCTTGCATTGTTAATGTTTCCCCTTCGCTTCTGACTAACAAGGGGTCTCGGGCAAGCTTGGATTTGCTCAGCGGAGATTTCTCTTGAGATCTCCTCTCGGAAATCTTCTCAGAATAAATTCCAGAAATGAGCTTCATGAAAGATGCAGAATTAAATCTGACATGAAAGGAAGACACACTGCTGGGATTTGGGGTGGTTAAGTCTCTGGCTTGGAAGGGAAAAGGGATCATGAAGGGTCAATGGGATTTTGGCGTGTGTCTTCGTGGCTCACTGTTCCCGAGCATTAGGCTTAGAATCATAGCCTTCTAGGACTGGGAAGGGACCTCGGAGATCTTCTAGTCTGACCCCCTGCTCAATCACAGAATTATAGTGCAGGAAGGGACCTTGGACCTTGGTTGGTCCTCTAGTCCAACCCTCTGCTCAGTCATTGGACTGGAAGGGACCTCAAAGGTCTTCTGTCCAACCCCTTGCTCAAGGCAGGAAACCCTACACCAAGGGTGTCAAACTGCCTGCCCGTGGGCCTGATGCGTCACGTGGAAGCCACGCCCACCCGAGCTCCAGCAATGGGAAAAAAGTCGCGATATGTCACGACCTGTCACATGATGCGGCGAGTTTGACACCCCTGCCCTACACCCTTCCAGACAAATGACGGTCTAGTTTCTTCTTAGGAAAGCACATCAGCCTTTCTTGTGGCTTGACATATCTTGATGATGCCCTGCGTGTTTTGGAAAGATGCATTTTCTCAAGATTGCAGAGAAGAAAATTTACAAGGAAAGTGATCAGAGAGGACCGCTTTGTCAGGCCAGGCGTGGGTGGGTGAGTGGGCTAGTCTCTGTTCTCTTCGCGTTGTTGTGGGAAGCCATTTCGGCATGACAGCACGTCGGCGTTCAGAGGGCTTTTAGGGATCCCCTGGGCTGGTTATCCTCTCTAATGAAGGGAATTGGGGGTTTGGTCAGCGTTCTTGCCTGTCGTACGCCGGGGCCCTGGGGAACTGTTTGGAAGCGTTTCATGTAAGGTTTTCCTCTAATCACTTTAACAAGCCTTGAGCAAAGAAGTAGAAAGAAGGCGCAGCCATTCCTTTCAACTGTGTTTCGGGGAGAGGGTGATTTTTCCCTTGGAAATGCTGCATGATGGGTAAAAAATAGGTCCTTCCGATGCTTTGCCGTTTGAGGACCAAAGGCTGGCACCACCAGGATAATTTCATAGCAGTTCCAAATCAGAATAACAGGATAACAGTGTTGGAAGGGACCTCGGAGGTCTTCTAGTCCAACCCCCTGCTCAAGCAGGAGACCCTATACCATTCCAGACAAGGGGTTGTCCAATCTCTTATTAAAAACCTCCATTGATGGAGCGCCCACAACTTCTGGAGGCAAGTCGTTCCACTGGTTAATTGTTCTCATTGTCAGGAAATTTCTCTTTAGTTCTTAGGTTGCTTCTCTTCTTGATTGGTTTCCATCCATGGGGTTCTTGTCTTGCCTTCAGGCGTTTTGGAGAATAGGTTGACCACCCCCTTTTCTTTGTGGCAGCCCCTCAAATATTGGAAGACTACTATCATCTCATCCCTGGTCCTTCTCTTCTTTAGACTAAGCATACCCAGTTCCTACAAGCATTCATTGTATGTTTTATCCTCCAGTCCCCTGATCATTTTTGTTGCTCTTCTCTGCACTCTTCCTGTAGTCTCAACATCCTTGTCTGCCTCTCTCTCTCCCTCCCTCTCTCTCTCTCTCACACACAAACATACATAAGACTTGGGAGATCCCTCCTCATATATTTTCATGGTCCCACCAGAGAACCATCTGGGTGGACAATGTGGGGGAGAGGCAGTCCCGTCTATTTAAACCTGATCTATATTCCCTAAAATCTAAATCTGTTTGTATTTAGGGTTCTGTTTTCTAAATCCAGATTGGTGGTTTCACATTTTTAATTGCCATCCTCAGAAATGAAGCAGGAAGACTTCGCCATCAGGGCTCTGCCTGGGAATGAAGACAGCAAGAAAACCTAATGCACCTAATAAGACAGATTTAATACAAATCAGATACATGGCTTGTAGCTCTGGAAACACTTCGCTTTCCTGCTTGTTAGGCACAACACCGAGGAAGGAAAAAGGAAAGAAAAAAAAAAGTACCCAAGAATTTTCTGCCTAGTTCTCCCCCACCCCCCCGCTTTTAATCTGCATTTTCAGCCTGCCGAAGCTGCTCTCTTGAACCTCTCCATTCCCCCAGCGCCAAATAACACATCCTTAAATGCAAGCCCTCTCTGTTAGGCTACAGGATCCGGAGCAAAACAGCTCATCCTTCCTAGTGGTCTTTGGTAGGCAAGGACCCCCTTCACCCACCCACTTTTTGACAGTTTCAGGACAGCGGCTGCTACCGGAAGACTTTGACCTTTTGCATCTTGTTGATAGCTTAAAAGATATTTCTTTTCAAAAAAAAATGCTGGGCAGGCAGACCCCTGGCTACTTTCCGCAGCCAGGTTCTTTTGTCTAACCAGGATGAGGGGCTGGAGATGCAACACTAGAGGGCACTGAACACAGCTGGGAGAGCTTTAATCTGCATGCATCTGGGGTTGCGCTCTGCCAGCTCGGGGAAGGTAGAGCGAAAAAGAAGGAGCCTTTTATGCTTTGCCATTTGCTTGTTAAAAGCTCCTCTGTGGAATCGAAAGCTGGATGCTAAGCAGGCCTTGCTGGCTGGAAGAGGTGATGGAGCATCCGTGTTTACCTGGGGTTTGGCCTCTGGCTTGTTCCCCGAAGGAAGGACCAAAATATAAATAGCGATATGTATATTTTTTGCAGCCGGTTTAATGTGGCTGGCGGTAGCCCAAGAGAGGTGTAATTTGAGATAGATTCTGCCTTCTCTCTGTTTACTTGGTTTGAAGTTCAAGAAGCTCAACGGTGGCTTTCTTCCAAGGACTGTGAAAATCCTCGTAGTTTGTTGTGTTTCTAAATACTCTTCTTATAGTCTTTTCTTTCACTCTGTTTTTCCTCCTTTGAAGATTTATGTTGTTTGCTATGAGTCGGTTTCCCAATTCATTGGCCATCTACTGAGCGTCACAGAGGTGATGGGGTCAGACTAGAAGACCTCCCAGGTCCCTTCCAGTCCTATGATTCTACAGTTGATCAGGGGTTTGGACTAGAAGACCTCCTTCCAGCCCTGTGATTCTATTATTGAGTTGGGGGTTGGACTAGAAGACCTCTAAGGTTCCTTCCAGCCCTAGAATTATCCTCCTCTTATACTTCTCAAGTGTTTAGTTGAGAGTCAAACTTGATTAGGCCAGTTTTTCTCAGCCTCAGCTACTTGGAAATGTATGGGCTTCACCTCCCATACACGGCTAACACACACGAAGTAAACTCGGTGGAAAGTAACCGTCTCCCGGACGGGCTGGTGCAGCTACTATTCCTCTTCATTTGCAGCTAGCCCTTTCCGCCGGGATGGTTCAAGCAAGATGGTTTGGCTGCTGACGCTTAGCTCCTTGGCCATCCTCACCCGCTGTTCTCCCCCCTCCCACTTCTGTGCCTTGCAGGGCTACCACGATCCCAGCCGGACCAAAATACTCCACTTCTCCATGAACCCAGCCAGCCTGGCCAAACAACAACGTCAAGAGGAGATGGCGAACCTGCGGGAGGAATGCGAACGCCTCCGGGAGAGGCTCAGAGTTTTAGAAGGTGGAGATGCTGGAGGCACCAGCAGCAGCAGCAACTGCTCAGGGAAACTGGAGGGTGGTGCAAATCTCCAGTCCCACCCCGAAATTGCTGGTAGGTACCAAGTTCTGCAATCCGATCAGTTTACCAGTGGGGCTGTTTGATCCAATAACAAAGGCAAGGCTTTGCAATGTGCTATCAAGAGCCATTTTGATACCGCAATCAGCCCAATTCACCCCTTGTAGTGTTTTGACAGCCATTGAAGTGAGTCTTTTCCAAGCTTTGCAAACTTGGAGATGGGGGGGACTTCCTGGCTTCCTAAGAGTTGATGTGTCCCCCCCCTCTTCAAGTTTGCCAAGGTCGAGAGATGCCGATTGTAATTGTTTGGCACGTGAAATAAATCACACACTTTTTATAACCAGTCAGTCGGGAGAGGAGTTCTAAGAATCAGGATGGGGTGGGATTTCCCTGGACCTCGGCTGTTCTAAATAGGGCCACTTGGGGAGAAACTAATTCCAAATCACGGCAAGGTAATATCCTGATTAGAACCAGACAAAAGTTTCACAGTTTAAACATATCCGTACTTTATATCCTGCTTTTTCAACGTCCAACTTCTCCTTCCATAGAACATTTTACATAGAAAGCCATCCCATGCATGTAGCTATGTATAAATGCATCTGAATGTCTGTTCCAGGCATTGTGGCTAGCTTAGCAAGTGTCTGTATCATATCTCTACAATCTAGGATTGTAACTCTGGGATATTAAATCTCTCTTCCTTTCCTTTCCTTTCCTTTCCTTTCCTTTCCTTTCTTTTCCTTCCTTCCTTCCTTCCTTCCTTCCTTCCTTCCTTCCTTCCTTCCTTCCCTTCTTTCCTTCCTTCCTTTCTTTCTTTCTTTCTTTCTTTCTTTCTTTCTTTCTTTCTTTCTTTCTTATGATGATGATGATGATGATAATGGTAATAAAGTTGGAAGGGACCTTGGAGGTCATCTAGTCCAGCCCCCTGCTTAGGCAGGAAACTTTCTTTCTATCTTTCTTTCTTTCTCTCTCTCTCTTTCTCCTCTCTTTCTTTCTTTTGTTCACTCTTGCTCTCTCATTAATCTATCCAAGATTGTACTCTTCCAGTGCACTTGCCCAGTCTATAATTGATTTGAGCAAATGTGTTGTGTTAGCACAGCTTTTCAGTTTTATGATGCATTTTTAACCTCTTCTACGTGACCCCAAGAGCTTCTAGCTATTGGACGGTAAAAAAACGCAATTCATAAGCCGACCGCTAAAGCACATGCCGGCAATTGAGTGGCAAATGGCGTGTGGACAAGGCAAGTCAAGGGCTACTTGACCAGGGAAATGGCATGAAGAACATTGCGGTTTGTTTTAATTGATATGTAAGTTGCTCCTCAGATTTCTGAGTGGAGAATAACATTTTTCAGCTCAGCTGCAGAGGCTGCAGCCATAGAGGTCTGGCTTTATTATGCCAAAGATATTTGTGGTAATCCAGAGCAGTTCAAAATTTAAGGTTCAGTGGATTATAATTACAGCAACAAAAAAATAATCAAGAAGACATTAAGGACGGCGATGCTGATAGGTTGGCGTAATAATTTCTTGGCCACTATTAAACCTCCTTGGATATGACTATGCCGCATCCTGGCTAAATGGGGTTCCGACATGTGGGTTAGGTAATGAGGGTGCTTTAATGTGGGTGCCAGAGTCCATTAAGTGTGACTCCACACAGCAAGGTGATCCTAAGCTCTAAATATCTTTCATAGCAGCAACTGGAGATCGTACTGCAGTTTTGGCAACGTGCCACCGAGCTTCTTGAAGCTTCTTCTCATTTGCTTTAGAACTTTCCCCACTAAAATGGAAGATAGGGCGCTTTTTTTTTTTTTTTTTTTTGAGGGGCAGCCACCTCATTCTTCTGGTCTTCTTTGGTATGAAAATGGCAATTTGTAGAAGGGGATTTGCGAATGGGGCAGAGCTTCAGCAGCTTCATTCTCTAGGTGGGCCAAGACCCTCAAGACTTTGATCCAGTGATGATCTCTTATCCAGTTAGGGCAAAGTTTTTCAAACTTGGCAACTTGAAGATGGGTAGACTTCAAATCCCAGAATTCCCTGGCCAGTGTGCTTGTCAAGGTTGGCTTTGTTGCATCTCCAAGTGTCCAGTGCCGGGAAAATCAGGAGATTCAGGCAGTTCAAATGAGTATAAAGATTTACTTCAAGCGTAAGTTCTCAACAAGATTCTGGCCAATTAACGATCAAGGAAATGAGCAGGAGATAATGACCGGGACTCATGACTTATGATGAGTTAGGCCCCTCCCTCGGGCTCAGCCTGGTCATCTCCTACACTGATCTCTTTAGCCACGAGGTCATGAGTGAGTCTTATATCTATCTTAAGACCATCTTTGGTTGATAGTCATGAGGCTGTGTGCTTGTTCCCAAACCAAGAATGTCATGTTTAGTCTAGTTCTAAGACATAACTGGGGACGGGTGTGTGTGTGGTCCAGTGTTAGTCTAATTCTAAGCCATAAGTTGACAAGGCTGGGTTCATACAACATGCCAAGTCAAATCCAGAAAGCCACATTTGATTTTGCTGCAATCTGCAGAGCTAAGGAAGCTCCAGCGTTTTTGAGCAATTGTTCTTATTCCACTCTCCCTTGAAAAAAAAATACACTACACATCAAATAATATTGACAATATGGGCCAGTGATGGAACAGAGTTCTCTCCCTCCCCAATCTTCCTTATATAATCCTCTCCATTGTAGATGATTTTGATACGACTATATTATTACCAGGAGTGATATCATAAGTGTTTGGGTTTTGTCTTTTAATTTTATAATGGGGCCTTTTGTTCTCCATTCTAGCATTCCGTTCTGGGAAAAGAGATTATTATTAGAGGTAATAATATTGCAGGAAGAAAGTTCAGATGGGGAATGAAATATCCCAAAGAAAAAAATAATGAACAGATCCTTCTTACAGTCAACATCAGTTTATTCTAATCTGCCTGCTGCAGAAGTCTTCTCTAAGGTCCATTTTAGGAGATCCATTTCTCATAGAATTGTTCTTCAGTTTTTAGCAGGGGAAGTATTTGGACCATTACCTAAGAAAGTTGAATGAATCCTATCCTTGCTGAAAGATCCATTGGATTTTAAAGATAATGGCACAGCTCTACTAAATCTGTGAAGGGAAATTGAATCTGCCTCTTGGCTGGACAACCAGGGAACAGCATAAGCAGTGATTATCCAGTGATTTGGTTCCAGTTGGCATCCATTCATGGACCACTTACCTTTTCATCAAGAACAAAAGATCAATCAATTTTTGTTCTTCCAGGTGTGGGATTAGCCCAGGGGTAGTCAACCTTGGCTCTTTTATGACTCGTGGACTTCAACTCCCAGAATTCCTGAGCCAGCAAAGCTGGCTCAGGAATTCTGGGAATTGAAGTCCACGAGTCATAAAAGAGCCAAGGTTGACTACCCCTGGATTAGCCAATGGACCGTATCAAAAGATATTTAAAACAACAACAACACTGGCCTACCTATAATCAAAAGGTAGTTATTGCAATTTCAAATCTTTCTCTCCCCCCCCCCCAAACATCGCCGTGTCTCCGTGGTCTGAAAGAACACCACAGTGCATTTATGAAACCCCAGGCTATGCTTCTTCTAAAACATACGTTGCCATCCCCCCAGGCATCAAAAGATGAAAGTGATCTTGAAATTCAGTCTGAACTTTTGTGGCTCCTCGGAAAAGGCTAACAGAGAAAAAGGAGAGCAGGTAATGAAAAGAAGTTCAAAAAACTTGAAGGAGTGCTAAAAGGATAGAGAAGGGAGCCAGAAGGATGTAAATGCCAAGAGACAGTTGCAAAGTAGGATCAGAAGGATTCCTGAAACAAATTCAGGGTTTGGAGAGACAAAAAACATCCAGCAGTTAAAGAGGCAGGAGCTGTTCTACTTGATCATGTTCTAATATGTTTATGTCAACACTTCTGAGAATATTCAAAGCAATTCATTGACATTTCTTGACAGAATAATAGAATAACAGGGTTGGAAGGCCCTTTGGAGGTCTTCTAGTCCAGCCCCCTACTCAAGCAGGAGACCTTCTACCATTACAGACAAATGGCTGCCTAGTCTCTTCTTAAAAGCCTCCGGTAATGAAGCACCCACAACTTTTGGAGGCAAGCTGTTCCACTGATGAATTGTTCTAACTATAAGGACATTTCTCCTTAGTTCTGGGTAGCTTCTCTCTTTGGTTACTTTCCATCCATTGCTGCTTCTCTGCCTTCAGGTGCTTTGGAGAATAGGTTGACCCCCTCTTCTTTGTGGCAGCCTCTTAGATATTGGAATGACATAGAACAATCCAGTCCAAGTTCAGTTCTATATTTACTTGCATCCTATAGACAGAATCTTGCCAGATTTAATCTTTACCACTCTCTCTCTAATAGATACACCTAGGAAATTCTAAGAAGTGGCCATCCTAATTCTCTTCCGCTGTCTTCTGTCCAGTTCTGGACTGTGTTGCCTTTTGTCATACCCTCCTTAGCTTGGAATGCCATGTCACTGTAATCCATCAAAGCACCTCCCCTTCCATAGGGACCCTCCCTCACAATAAGGCTTCACTCCAATTTTTCAATTTGGTGTAATGTTTCCTCAAGCTCAGAAACTTGAAGATGGGTGGACTTCAACTCCCAGCATTCCCATGGGCGTGGAATTCCTGGCTGGGGAACACTGGGAGTTGAAGTCCACCCATCTTCAAGTTGCCATGCTTGAAAAACACTGGCTTAACGTCATAACTTTTGGAGGGAGGAAGGTTCTTGTTTGTGTATTTGTCCCTTGTTCAGCCATTGTGTAGAGGGAAAGCACGAAAGGTTTAAGACTTAGAAAGGCAAGGCATGTATGTCCGTGGAATCATAAAGGGGGAGAAAGAGAGCAGAGTTGGCACCAGCAGCAGGACCACAAAATATTTCCAAGCATTTTCTTGACTCTTCCAGGATGGAGGGCAGCTTCCATTCCTGGCTCCCAAATGTGACAGGAACCAAAAGAATGTTTATGTTTGGGGATCATGGTGGGTTAGAAAAAGGCAAGGGGAAAAGAGAGAAATGTTCTTTAGAGCTGTCACGCCAATCCTCC